GGTCCAGCGGTGCACACTGCGATCGGATCCTTGCGGTTGAGGTCCAGGGGTGCACACTGCGATCGGATCCTTGTGGTTGAGGTCCAGGAATGCACACTGCGATCGGATCCTTGCGGTTGAGGTCCAGGTGTGCACGCCCGGATCCTTGCGGTTGAGGTCCAGGGTGCACACTGCGCTCGGATCCTTGCGGTTGAGGTCCAGGGGTGCACACTGCGATCGGATCCTTGCGGTTGAGGTCCAGGGGTGCACACTGCGATCGGATCCTTGTGGTTGAGGTCCAGGGGTGCACACTGCGATCCGGAGCTTGCCAGACAAGATCGGCGAAGCAGATTGGCGAAGATTGGCGATGAAGATTGGCGCTGAAGATTGGCGAGGAGGTTGGCGAGGAAGGAAGCAAGGAGGAAGGAAGGAAGGAAGGAAGGAAGGAAGGAAGGAAGGAAGGAAGAGGAAGAACAACTGTGATAAAATCTAACAACCCTCACCTGGCAGGTGGGGAACTAACCAAAACCTCAGATTCGAGCGATTCAACTTAGCTCAATCTGCTTCCCATGAGTCCTTCCTCCCCTTCCATCCGGCCTTCATCCGCGCCATGGGTCGCGCCGTTAAGGCGGCCACGAGCTTCTTCAGCTTCCCCTCGTCCTCCAAGACCACCAGGCTGGCGCCACTGTGGGCGACCTGGTTAAAAGGCCGCTTCCGGACCAGACGAGGGGTCGAAGGCCACGGGATTGTCTGGGACTGAAAGGGCAAATAGGCTTCCTCACACTCACCCTCACATTTCCTTCGTCCCGACGTTCCCCTCGCATGGCTTGGGCGGCTGGACATCGTTCGCCCCGCTCGCCCCGCCTTGAAGGCGGCCGTCTCCGGCGTGTCCGTCGGGTAGAGCCCCGCCGACTTGCCAGCAGCCATGCTAGCAGCATAGGTGCTGAGCATCCACTCCGGAGCATTGAAACCCCAAACGGCCACCGTTTCGAAGGGCTGTAGGCCACACTTCACGAAGCCTGGGGCTGCACACCGACGCAGCAAGGGGGGTGGGAGAGGCTGAAGGGTGCTGAAGGGTGCAGAAGAGCCAAAAAGTACCGAAAAGTCAATCAAAACATGAAAACCTTTAAAGCTGCAGGAGTCCCAGTAGCCCTTGCCAGCTTTCCGCGCATCCTCATAGTAATCCCTCCAGCTCCATGTCTTCCACGCCTCCTCAGGCAGCGCAGGAGGCGCTTCGCCGTTAGCGCCCAGCGCCGGGCACGGCCGCTCCACTCGAAGTGCAGGCTTCGACCCGCACTTCTCGGCAGAAGTCCTCGGGCCAAGCATCTCATTTAGCATCGTTTTGCCAAATGATCCAGCGAAAACGGGCGCTTGCAAGGGGTTGGGATTTGGCGCTTGTCCTTTGGTGTTCGCTCCTCGGCCGGCTTAAACTCCTTGATGTCGACTCATTGATTCATTGATGAATCACCCGCCAGAAGGTCAGGCAGGCTAACATTCCCAAGACTTATAATCTCTTCATGAGGAGGGGTCGCAAAGACTAAATCTCTTCATGAAGTGGGGGGGGGGAAAACTACTGTAAATCTCTTCATGAGATCTTCAAGACTAAAGTTCGGCATGCCACTTGAAAAGAAGCATGGAGAAGCTCATGATGGGAATGGAAGTTGTGAGTCATGTGTGGTGCTATGATGGGACCTTTAAAAGGAAGACTTGCCTGACCCAAGTCTTCCTCTTTAAAGGTTTGTTGGGATACCGTGAGATGCCATGAATGTGCAGAATGAGGCGACTGGGCAAGGCGTGCCAGTCAAAAGCATGAGCACAAGGGGATGATGGTTGGCCATGAAAGTAAGGCCTCGCATTTCAAGATTTATGAGATCGATGCATGCTGTGACAGCATGCAGTCCATCAAGCAGCATGAGCTTGAGAAGTGTGGACCGGAAGTTGGATGCATTAAGCTGATATATTTGATGAGCCTGATGAAACTGACAGGCATGAGACGAAAATAAGTGCCGATTTGGCAAATTTCCGAGCTGGGATAAGCTGGGCGAAGCTGAGAGGAGTCGAAAGAACAATAAGAATCAGAACATGAATTGATGGATAAGGAAAAGAACCTATGATTGAAAATTCCATCAGGAAGGATTGGTAAGGAAGGTTGAAGAAAAGGACTTGGAAGCATTTGCAAGGGCAACAGGTGCCTGTAGGGAAAGCTGTTCTTTTTTCAATCCATTGGGGGACCAAATCAGGTGGGTGGTCATGAACAGAGGGTCTGGGAGCTCGACAGAATCAGTTTTTGGACATATAGATTCTATATGTATATGTATAGATAGATTCTTAATCAAGGCGTTGTAAAGGATTTCCTTGCCGTGATTTGGGGTTTCTGGGTGACTTTGGAGGATCTGCTTCCAGGTGAAGAGCAGTGAGATTCTTATGATGGGATCGGTCCAGGGAAGATGCCAGCATGGGCAATTCAAACGACGCCTGGGCAGTTGTAGTCTCACTGACGAGACAAACTGCCAATGGCATGGAGCAAAATTGTGTCTTGGGAGGCAAGCTTTGAGAAGAAAACACACATTAAGGATGAAATTGCCCATGAACAAATTTGATCGAGCTATTGTTACTTGCAACAAATCACTGCCCCAAAATGAAAAAATCCAAGAACTCATATTGAAATTGAATGAAATTGACGCAGGTGAATGGGAAGAAAGGCCTTTCTATTTGGGTACCAACCTTGGAAAATGGGCCGGAAGGTTTCATGAAAGACAGCCAGGATTGCATTGCAGCAAAGAAACAGATCTTACTAATCAGGGGGGGTCCTTAATTATGTATCGACATCATAAACAAGCAAACTTATCGACGGGCAGGCTTGGGCAATCACATGTTTATCATGTTTTGTACACAGCCAAGAGTCTTCAGCAGCTGTGGAAGTGTGCTGGGAGGGCAGCCCTTCTCACTGGCCAAACCCGTGGCCGCGCACCTTGGTCGGATCCCCTGGGAGAGGGGCGAGAGAACAGGGAGAGGAACATGAACAATTGGAGAAAAGGGCCACATATGATACAGTAGTAGCATATGATTGACCAAAGCCAAACCAAACGGCAACAGCTACAATTTGCAACGCATGTCGTTCTTGGATTTTGCTTGAACATCAAATTGTCAAAAATCTGAAAGGAACCAAACTGTGTTTAGCCTTCCGATATGGGAAGAGCTATGAACCCAACCACTGGTGCCTATTGTACTGAAACATACTGAAACAAACCTACATGAGGATCACTCGATTTTCCTTCCTTGGCCTTTTGCACCGCATGACACCACGCACTGCCCAGCCTGGGGTCCATTGGAACGTCTGGGCGGCAAGTGTACCAAACATCTTTGCCCTTGTAGGGAAAGAACTCATCTGGATTCCTGGCCGAGCACACCATGTCGGCGATTCTGGGCTCGGAAGGTGTAGGAAGATTGAGATCAAGAACTCCAAATGTTGCTACTCAGCCAGATCCATCTGGACAATAAGGCGTTGATTTGTAGCTCATCACTGTATGTAAGACCTTCAGCCATCGCCTTCTGTCTTCTAAGTCTTCAGTTCCATCTTGATGAGTGTCTGTTTCCCAAAACTCATAAAACTCATGGCACCCACCAAATCAACAAATGACATCGCTGCCGCAACACCTGCGTTGACACTTGTTCAATCAAACCGCCGAGCTTGTTCAACATCCAAGTAGGGCGATAGACATGGATCCCTTCTATCTTTAGGGCCCCCCATGGCACAATGGGTCAGCCCCGACAGCTTCGCCAGACCCCTGTCGGCGTCCCGTCCCGCTCCTCGAGATCGGAGCCGCCGAGGGCACCGAGTTCGGAGCGCAGCACGCCGCAGCGCCCATGGCCGGAGCGAACGCGGAGAGAGGTCCACCTGGTGAGGACCAGCGGATTCGGAGCGTCAGCTGCTGCGGACGGAGGCATGGCGGTGCGAAGGCGGACGTCCTAGTAGTAGTCGTAGTCGTAGTCGTAGTCGTAGTAGTAGTCGTCGTCGT